CCCAGACAGTGACTGAATTCGACATACATGACAAGCTAGGACCGAAAATCCTGTCACCGTCGGGACTAGAACTTCCCGGTCATAGGGACTGCAGCGCCATCAGTTGATGCTCTGAGCCATCGCTCCCGGTCCAGAAATGAGTGACAAGGGCCAAACAACCCTAGCCAAAGCGAGTGTCGAACTCGCGACCCTTCGGAGCGTAGCGCGGAGGCGGTACACGCTCTTGGCTACCTCGGGTAGCCAGGTCGACCTATTTATTTTTTAAACTTTCTTCCTCATCCCGACGATATAAAAATTTGAGAAAATAACATTGAATTTGTCCTTTTAAAAATATGTAAATATTACGCTAAAGTATTCATAAAACACGTGACCATATTTAAAGATCTAATTTTGAAACTCACATTTCATTAAATGAAATAACTCTATCATCAATTTTGTACTTTTGCGATGTTAAGTTTTTGCAAGTTTAAAAAATGCGGGCTCTTCATAAAAAATGGCATTGGCGCGTTTTTTTATTCAACGAATATTAACAATCTATTTCAAATGTGAAATAATACAGAGGTCGCTAAATGTACTAGAGTTATTGAATGAGACAAAATATATTTACGACTGTAGATATTGACACACTCCGTGCGTGGGGTTCAAATGTTTTATAAACATTTCATAATTATTATACTTGTACTGAGGTAAGTTGAAAATCAATATTTAATCCATTCTTTCAATTTCAGTGCCATTTTGTGAGATGGGAATAAGTGGCTTTATGAGCTATTTCTTATGACCTTTTTTTCTTAACTTTCTTTTAACTATCGAACGAACACTTTTGATGGAATTTAGGTCAGGGATATTTGCAGCTCATTGCAATCCAGACTGATCAATTTCTTGAAGATGTTTTTCAACTTTTTCCTATTGTGATAAGGTGCGTAGTCATTGGTATTTTTCCAAACAACTCGTGATGGAACCATTGGTTCTTCAGGGCCTCTAAGAAAGTCTCTCCTCTAGTCCTCTAAGAAAGGTCGTGCTTCATTGGACAATTAACTGTGTATACAATTCCAATAACATTAACAAACATTAAGTTAAACATATATTAACTTCAATCAGTTACTTTTCTCAGGTGCTTCTCAAGACTCATTATAACCTGTTAACTCAGAGAAAAAAAATATTTAGTCTAATAATTTGATCACCTCGTAAGTAAATACTATAAATGTGAATAACAATAACAAATCAAATAAACTTAAGAAAGTCACCCATTAGTACTTTCTAAGGATTCAAAATATACGCAAAAGTTATAGCAAAAAGGGAACCTGGTTAGATAAATATTAATTGTTTAACCGGAGGATGAGATGAGTGGAAATTCTCGTTATTGCCAATGTTCGAAATTTCTTGTTATTGCCAAGTAGGTTTAGAGGTAGATGATTGGGATGTATTTCTAGACGTTAGTGATATTTTGAACTTATTTCTGCGCGATTTTTATAATTCTAGTTAGCTACACTTCAGAAAAAAATGAGAAAAATTTGGAAACTTTTTAAGAAATTATTTTTGCAAAAGTTGTCTAACTTTGAAGTCAATTTACGTGAAACGCATCAGATTTAAAAAAATCATCTGATTTAAAGCTCTCTTTCTATGAAAAGATTTTATAAAAAATCATAGAATTAAGAAAAATAATGTTATCTTTAATATTATTATAGCTATTAGGAGACGCCGAATATTTATTGAACAATGGAGCCGTGTGGGTGAATGTAATTGTTAAAAGTTACTAAATGTTTCATGCAAAAATAGTAAAATATTACGCAATTTTAGGAATATTGTACGTAGAGTTATTTCAAGAGGTCTATAAACGATGGAATTTTGAAAACAATAACTTTCCAAGTTTAGAAAACCTACTGATTTCAATGAAAATGAGACCCTTGCAATTTTCAGGAGTTTTTAGCTATCCCGGGGCAAAGTTTGATTTATATATTGTATATTTGTATAAATTGTATACAAAGTATATTTGAAAAAATTTCGAAAATGTTGAGGCTTCATGTTAAGTATCCTCCCCTCAAAAAAAATCGTTTCAAACTCTCAGGATCTAAAGTTCATTCAGATCGATCGGAGAATATCAATTTACAAAATCATTCGAACGGTTTAGGTGCTAGCGTTGTTATCAGTTGCTGGTGACCTGTTCGTCGTGTTTTCTACTCGTGCGCCACTTCTTGCACATTTGCCTCCTAGAGCGCGTCACTGGGGAATAACCCGGCGCGAGAGAGCCGCGGCGGGCGGAGGCGCTTTCCGGGAACGGGCGCTTCTCCGCGCTGTTGCCGCCAAGGCCGCACCGACCACTTCCTTCAGTGCGAGGTGGCATTTCGGCCGGCACAGTGGAGAACACGCCACAAACACCGGCGCCCCATTTGAAGAAAAGAGAGTTTGCCAACCGTACTCAAATACTCAAAAGTGATATCACTTAAATAACCCAACGGAGTAGGAATTGATTTTTTTATAGCATTAGAGAGTTACAGCCTTAAATGTACCAGACATTTGATGCATAATTTGATGCATGATGATGATGTATGTGTACAAGTTCTAAAAAACGAAAGCATATTTTTTAAAAAATGCATAGTTTGGTGTCAGTGTAATTACTAAAATATATTGATAAAATATAAATCTTGATTTAGGTATGATATTTCAATTGTTATTTAATGATTTGTATTGTAGAAATATCTTTGGCTGTTAAACTTCATCTTCTTCAAAAGAAAAAGATCTGTTTTATCGACAGGTCGCTTTCCCACTTTAAAGTTCAAAGAAAGCGAAAGTCGTCATAACTAAATAAGGATGATTCAAGATATGAAGAATTTCTATTTCACCAACTGGGAAGGTTTCCAAATTATAAGGTCATATCCCCATCTTGCATCATCATCATCATCATCATCAGAATCACCATCATCATAATCACCCCCGTGAAGTATATGCTCTTGATACTCGTTTGATGGTGCACCTAAACTTTCCCTAGCGCTTTCTTCTTGAAATCTAAACATACCCGCGCGTTACATTTCTTGCGACATCTCTCCCTTTTGCCGCGTTGTCGGGGCGAGTGCTCACTGCAGTCCACGGCGGAGATCCCAGCTGAGCGGTCGCCGCGGCGCGGCGCGGCCCCGTGCGCGAGACGAACCGAGCCGAACAGCCGGCCGCCCTTGGCCGCGTCGCCGATCCGCCGCACCGTCGCGTCCGTGAGGTCAGTGCGCGTGCCGACGCCAAGCGAGCAGCATGTGTGCGCCCACGACGCTGCTT